GCTCTTGCTTCTGTTGCTCCTGTGGTTGCTTCTACTGCTAGTGATGCTGGTGCTGCTGCTGGTGCTACTGCCGCTGGTGCTATCGTCGCTGTTGTCGCTCCTGTTGTCGTTGTTGTTGTCTGCGTTGTTGTGTGTGTTGTTGTCGTTGTTGGGATCGTTGTTGGGATCGTTGTTGTTGTCGTTGTTGTTTTAGTTGTGGTTGTGGGTGTTGTTGTCGTTGTGGTTGTTGTCGTTGTTGTTTCGAGCGTTGTAGTGTGTGTTGTTGTCGTTCTTGGAATTGTTGTTGTTGTCATTGTTGTTGTCGTCTTTGTCGTCGTCGTCGTCGTCGTTCTTCTTCTTCTGCTGCTGCTGTTGTTGTTGTCGATGTTATGGTGCTTTGTTGAGAAGGAGGATTTGTGAGTCGATTTATATTGTTAATTTCATGTGCTAATAAGCAATAACACTACGCACACCCAAACTTACCACAACCTTGGAGATTTTTGAGATTACATATCCCTTTAAAAAATGCAGACACAACTTTAACGAACCAAACAAATTGTTACAAATGGTGCAAGTTTGACAGTTCGAGATTCAAAACTTCGAAGTTGATGAGTGAGAGTGGATTTAAAGTATGGGCATCGCTCCCATACTCTCCCTGCACCGCTGCGACTTAGCCTAGTACTTCTCGCTCGCCATCCCCTCGTGCTCTCACGATCCCCCGTGTAGGCCGTGTCCCTAGATGACGACTCTTACTATAAATCGCCAGCAATTTCAGTCACTCTTTTGTGTTCGTCCAAAATCCAGTGATGGCATCTACTCCTCTCACGCGGGTAGTGCTGATGCTGAGCCTCATCATATGCTCATGGTGCTCTGTGTTTTTCGCAACTCAAAGAGCTCTGAGCATTCATCAAGCCAACAATGTCGAGTGTAGATTTCATCGCGCTCGTCTTCGAGAGGAGGGATACGTTAACGGACCGTATAGGGCTAGCCTGAATGGGGAGATCTCTAAGGCGCCGCCCCCTCCAGACCACGGCAGAAAGCGTAGGCGAATTGGCGGGGAAGAGAATGCAGCAGTCCCGGCCACTGAGGGCGACACTAACACATCCGCTCCGACGATTCCGTTAGATCCGCCACCTTCGAGCTTCACGCTGCCAGAGAACACACACGATGAGATTGAAAATGAGATCCCGAAGTCATATTTCGACACGCGGAAGGAGATTTTGCTGTTTATGCAAAGCTTCAGAGAAGGGCAAGGAATGACTGTCGAGGAGAGCAAGAGGTTTCTGAAATTGATAAGCCACCCAGAGTTCAAATGTGAAGATATTTCAGAGTGGAGGAGCATCAAGGATGCTTAGAAGTGGGCAGCAGAGAAGTGGGGTGGAAATGCTCCGTTATGGAAAACCACAATGGTGGAAGTACCTGGAGTTTTGGAGAACGGTCGTCCGGTCTTCGTGCCTCTCAAGCATACCGACTCTCTCAAGGTGGTGGTCTTGAGATATTGCATTATATTCTCCCCTGTTTCCGAAGTGCACCATGTGCTAACGTCCTCCCCCTTATTTTCCAACCGAATCCCGCAGGTGGTGCAAGCACTATTCGAGGACAGAAACAACCAGAAAGGATTTGCGTTGTACCCAAGCATAAAGAAACGAGGAGACCATAGAATCTACACTCGGCCACAGCACTGCAACTGGTGGATAAATGCTCAGGTGCGAGCAACACGAATGAATGCGTGAGGTGTAGATACGCGCGAGACACGTTGGGGATCTGCGAGTGAATTGTGGAAAGGCACAAGCGACCGGTTGGATGCGAGATAGGTGCGAAATGTCGCGGTGGGTGGGGGAATGAATCTGAGTTACGCGCGTCATTGCAACCGCGACAGGTGAGTGTGTGATTCGGAATTGCCTAGGTGGCTGAATAATGAGGGTATGGCGCGGAATGGCATCAACGAGTGCAGGGAATGATGGTATGGCGCGGAATAGCATCAACGAGTGCAGGGAATGATGGTATGGTGCGGAATGGCATCAACGAGTGCAGGGAATGATGGTATGGCGCGGAATGGCATCAACGAGTGCAGGGAATGATGGTATGGCGCGGAATGGCATCAACGAGTGCAGGGAATGATAGTATGGCGCGGAATGGCATCAACGACTGAGTGACCGTGAGCGAGTTGAGTCTACAGCACATGTGAGGGGAAGGAACTGCATTGTGAGGGTTGTTGAAATCAATGTGAGCCACGTGTTGGCACATGAGAAGGTGCCCATCCGCCCATGGGCTGTGGGTTGGCTCATGAGAAGGTGCCCATCCGCCCATGGGCTGTGGGTTGGCTCATGAGAAGGCGCCCATCCGCCCATGGGCTGTGGGTTGGCTCATGAGAAGGCGCCCATCCGCCCATGGGCTGTGGGTTGGCTCATGAGAAGGTGCCCATCCGACCATGGGCTGTGGGTTGGCTCATGAGAAGGCGCCCATCCGCCCATGGGCTGTGGGTTGGCTCATGAGAAGGCGCCCATCCGCCCATGGGCTGTGGGTTGGCTCATGAGAAGGCGCCCATCCGCCCATGGGCTGTGGGTTGGCTCACTGTTTTGTGGGTTTGAGTGCAGTGTGCATGTTGTCCAACCTCATACCTCATGACCCACCCTTCATTGTATAGAAAGCGCTTCGGATTCAGGAGGAGGTGATTGCTGCACTCATTGTGTATTCGGACGTAACACAACTGAGTAAGAATGACACACAGAAGGCGTGGCCGGTCGTCTTGTCTCTCGGGAACATCGCGGTTGAACATCGTTGGAAAAACAGTGCCAAACAAATGGTTGCAATGCTGCCACTGCCTAATTCTTTGTGGAAAAGCAATGTCAAGACGGAGCCGTTCTTGAGATGCATGCAGATTGTCCTTCAGCCCCTCATTGATGCCAGCAACAGGTTTGTCCTTATCAATCACTCTCTGGAATTTTTTTGTTTTGTTTTGTTTTTTTTAGGGTTTGCGGAATAATGAATGTTTTTCCTCCTTGCAGTGACATCAGTTGTGTGTGGTCTGACCCCTCAGGGGTCAAGCGCCTTGTGAGGCCATTGTTATATAGTTATCCATGCGACTACCTGGAAAGCTGCAAGGTGACAAGCACTTTCCAGCACGGCAGCAACCGACCCTGCTCTATGTGTTACGCGTTGAAAGATGAGTGTGACAACATGACCAAGAGGTTTAGGCCGCGGAATCCAAAGGAGCAAAGGTTTTTGAGGGATAAATACAACATGTTGTATCAAACGGGGAAGACTATGGCGAAGGATTACGCATCTCTTTGGGCCACGTTTCCATTCCATTTACGTAAATTGCATTTTACATTTGTTACTCTGAAACTTTTGTTCCCCCTTGCCTTTCGACTAGCTCACAATTCCTCCCACTTATCCGTGCAGACCTTCATTTGGGATTTCAAGTATGCTGACAAACCATGGGGAAACCCATACCTTGCGCTCATGCCAGACGTCCTACACCAGGCGGACGTTGGGGTGTGGACACACATTCGTGACGCCATAGCCACGCTTGACAACGCAAAGAACGGCATGCTAGACGAGTAAGTGCTTCCCTAGCCTTGCCTTGAATCTGCCCTCGGAATCATATCTCCCCTTGCCTTGCCTTGAATCTGTCCTCAGTATCCTATCTCCCTTGCCTTGCCTTGAATCTGCCCTCATATCGCAAATATTCCCAGCCATTGCATCCATGCCTTATTCTAGTGCAACCCACCCTCCCAAGCCGCCAAACCTCCCTTGCGACCCTGTTTGTCTTTTCGCCTCCGCCTTGCTGCCATACAACCACATACAGGAGGATGAAGTGGCTATGGAAGCATGGGCGGATAGCCGGCCTTAATCTGCCCGTTCCAGGAACATATTTCCAATCTGGAGCTCGCGTCTCTGCTGCTGAACACCGTGCTGTGATGCAAGTGGCGATCTTCATTTTGGAAGGGCTTGTTGATAAAGTGCATCTTGATGCGGTGCAGGCATTCTTGCGTTGGTACAAGGCCACCTTTCGCCCGCGCTATCACACTGATGAAAGCCTCGCCAATGTGGACCGCCTTGCGCAAAGGTGGGGCTTTGATTTCCCCGTTTGCTCACCACCATGTTTGTACGAGCTGCCCTTGTCACCATGTGCTGCCCTTGTCACCATGTGCTGCCCTTGTCACCATGTGCTGCCCTTGTCACCATGTGCTGCCCTTGTCACCATGTGCTGCCCTTGTCACCATGTGCTGCCCTTGTCACCATGTGCTGCCCTTGTCACCATGTGCTGCCCTTGTCACCATGTGCTGCCCATGTGCTTCCCTTGTCACCATGTGCTTCCCTTGTCACCATGTGCTGCCCTTGTCACCATGTGCTGCCCTTGTCACCATGTGCTGCCCTTGTCACCATGTGCTGCCCTTGTCACCATGTGCTGCCCTTGTCACCATGTGCTGCCCTTGTCACCATGTGCTGCCCTTGTCACCATGTGCTGCCCTTGTCACCATGTGCTACCCTTGTCACCATGTGCTGCCCTTGTCACCATGTGCTTCCCTTGTCACCATGTGCTGCCCTTGTCACCATGTGCTGCCCTTGTCACCATGTGCTGCCCTTGTCACCATGTGCTGCCCTTGTCACCATGTGCTGCCCTTGTCACCATGTGCTGCCCTTGTCACCATGTGCTGCCTTTATCACCATGTGCTGCCCTTTTCACCGTGTGCTGCCCATGTTTGCGTGTGCTGCCCATGTTTGCGTTTGCTGCCCATGTTATAACTTCATTCCATCCTTCCTCCCCCCACCACTGCCCCAGTATGATAACAAAAGTGAAAGAGGCATTTCCTACCCAGGCCTCACTCTGGAAGGTTGTGAAAGTGCACATGGTGGTGCACTACTCTGATGCGATTCGGCGAGGGGGGTTGCCAGAGGAGTATTCAACGAATATGTACGAACATTTTCACGAAGTCACTGTAAAAAGACCGTACCGTGCATCCAACCGTCGCCAATGGACCGAGTCGATTATAAAAAGCAATCAATTCCTATCAATGCTAGCACAGGTGGAAAGTGAGATTCACGAGGAGCGTGACTACAATTGTGCATTCTACGAGGTGAGCATTTGATACTTCTTACGTCACAAACGTGTTTTTTTCTTCTTAGTCTTTCTAATCATCCTTGCATAGTAAACGGTCTGAATGTTGCCAATGCTCTTTTCTCTTGCATTCAGGCTGACACCACTGGGAAACGGGTTTTTTTGAGGAGCCATGTGGTCATGCACATGGCTGGAAGCACGTACCGCCAGAGCAGCACTGACCAGTTTGCACTGTACAACACAGCACTGGGAGGCCGCCTGGGTACCCTGCAGGAGCACCTCAAGAATGCCGGCATCACGTCCCCCACCCTCCACGTAAGATGCTTACATCTTCTCCCAAATCCCTCCCCTCACACTCCACTCTCCTCTCTGGCCTGCCACCTTCACTCTCAACCCCCATCCCTCCCCGCACACTCCCCTCTCCTCTCTGGCCTGCCACCTTCACTCTCATCCCCCATCCCTCCCCTCCCACTCCCCTCTCCTCTTTGGCCTGCCACCTTCACTCTCATCCCCCATCCCTCCCCTCACACTCCCCTCTCCCCTCTGGCCTGCCACCTCCACTCTCATCCCCCATCCCTCCCCTCACACTCCACTCTCCTCTCTGGCCTGCCACCTTCACTCTCATCCCCCATCCCTCCCCTCACACTTCCCTCTCCTCTCTGGCCTGCCACCTTCACTCTCATCCCCCATCCCTCCCCTCACACTCCCCTCTCCTCTCTGGCCTGCCACCTTCACTCTCATCCCCCATCCCTCCCCTCACACTCCCCTCTCCTCTTTGGCCTGCCACCTTCACTCTCATCCCCCATCCCTCCCCGCACACTCCCCTCTCCTCTCTGGCCTGCCACCTTCACTCTCATCCCCCATCCCTCCCCTCACACTCCCCTCACCTCTTTGGCCTGCCACCTTCACTCTCATCCCCCATCCCTCCCCGCACACTCCCCTCTCCTCTCTGGCCTGCCACCTTCACTCTCATCCCCCATCCCTCCCCTCCCACTCCCCTCTCCTCTTTGGCCTGCCACCTTCACTCTAATCCCCCATCCCTCCCCTCACACTCCCCTCTCCTCTCTGGCCTGCCACCTCCACTCTCATCCCCCATCCCTCCCCTCACACTACCCTCTCCTCTCTGGCCTGCCACCTTCACTCTCATCCCCCATCCCTCCCCTCACACTCCCCTCTCCTCTCTGGCCTGCCACCTTCACTCTCATCCCCCATCCCTCCCCTCACACTCCCCTCTCCTCTCTGGCCTGCCACCTTCACTCTCATCCCCCATCCCTCCCCTCACACTCCCCTCTCCTCTTTGGCCTGCCACCTTCACTCTCATCCCCCATCCCTCCCCGCACACTCCCCTCTCCTCTCTGGCCTGCCACCTTCACTCTCATCCCCCATCCCTCCCCTCACACTCCCCTCTCCTCTCTGGCCTGCCACCTTCACTCTCATCCCCCATCCCTCCCCTCACACTCCCCTCTCCTCTCTGGCCTGCCACCTACTCTCATCCCCCATCCCTCCCCTCACACTCCACTCTCCTCTCTGGCCTGCCACTTCACTCTCATTCCCCGTATCTCCCCTCACACTCCCCTCTCCTCTCTGGCCTGTCACCATCACACCCATCTCCCCCTCCCGTCCCCCACACTTCGCACTCTGTTCTGGCCCCACCACCTATAATTGCCTGCAGATCTACACTGGCGTGGCCATTCCCGCCGGCTCTCAGGAGTACCACTCCAGGGTCACACATTTTGTTCATGCAAACCCATCACACCACGGTGATCCGTGGTTCTCCCATGTGGCCATCAGTGGGGGGGAAGAGGTATGGTACGCAGAGGTGCTGCTCCTCTTTAAGCATGCACAAAGCGACAAGGGGTTTGCCTACGTTCAGTACTATGAGGTGGTTGGTAACGATGATGCGACAGGTTGCAAGTGCCTAGAGTGGGCCAAGTACCCACGCACTCGAAGCTTGTACAGGGATGTCGTGGAAGTGGACTCAGTGTTCCGTGCTGTCCACATTGTCGAGTCATTTAAGCGTCCCGGCACCTTCTTCCTTAATGATTATTTGTTTGAGTAGATGCACGTGTCCCATGAAATGTTGCCGGAAACAACTGTTAAGTGTGTTCTTTTTACTACAACAGGCTCTCAATCACTTGACTATGTCATAGAAGACCTAAATGATACAAATTTCAAAAGTTCAATTCATAAAATATATAATTATATAAGTTTCGGAACTTGAAAATATATCTCAAATGCGATGTATACGGTTGGGTGGGTTTTTACCCACTAAACGCGACGACGAGTCGGACTACTGTTCGTCGAACGGAAAAAACACTACCAAAACAGGGTTCCTGATTTTTGCGATCATTGCATGATCAGTTACCGAAACGAGCTGTTGGTGACGCGTCCCAGTAAGCAAGGCGTACATGATCGACAGGTCCCTACAACACCCTGCCTGGGCCATTGTCCCGCAGGTGTTGATGGCACACTTGCATTCAGCACGAGTTGCTACTGCCACTACAGTGTAGTCATTACTCCGACACTGTTCCCCTTTCCAGCGCATCTTCCGTTACCTCTTTAGTAGGACCAGTCCTAACATGAGAATGCGGTGGATTTGTCCGACCAATCGGGACAAGTTGCCTTGCTTGTCCTGTCAGGGCGAGCAACTTCAAGTTGCTTCCAATCCAGGCCTCACTTTGTGGATCATCATGGTTACGCTGTGTCACCTTCGCATTCGCACATGCGCATGCCAAGCAGTGCTTGCGCTTCGCCCTGCAGATGCACGCTTCCTCGGCAGATGCATCGCGAAAAAGGAAAGCTGCGATTTTTGGCCCCCGAAGGTTTTTCTGCGTTGGCCTTGCGAGAAAGTTGGGGAAAGCTGCATAAAAACACCGCACCCGGATCGCAACTTTTTGCACATCAGAAACGCACATCTTCATCGTACACACAAAAGTGACCTGGCGGTAACATTTCCACGAACATGTAGGAAACTCGAAGCGCACACCTACATCTCGAGTCGCATTCGCGGCTCCCATTTCATTCGAACCAAAATCCGCGACATAAGTATGCTGTACCTAGTGTTTCCGTCAAAACACAACATGTGAGTGCACTGTTAGGGTGCTCATATCCACATTAGCCAAAACTACACCATCAACTCAAAATAAAATTGCACACACAATAACAACCACAACACCAACATAAACAATGCGTCCCCCCAACGTACGATACCGCACACAGTCAACTCCCACAACCAAACCCCACTACTGGTCGTCATCACTCTCCAGCACTTCATCACTCCGCAGCACTTCTTCGGCTGTCCCGTTCTCAGCTCGCCCCCCTGCGCGAGCCCTCTTGACAGGCGTCCTGCATAGGCGGGAAATCACCTTCTGGTTCGATGCTCCGACCTCTGCTGGCATAGCCGCCGGGGGGATGCCGAGCTCATCGGCACGCTCCACGTACGCGTTTGTGACGTTGCGTATCACGCGCCTCTTACTACACTCGTCCCGCAGCAATGGGCCGTCTGGCAGGCTCATGTCGCCCGACGAGTCATCGGACGCGCTGGCAGCAGGTGTGGCTCTGAATCCCTGATCCAAGCATAGTCCCGCGTCGCAGTTGATAAAATCCGCGGTCGTCATGTAGCACGCAGGCTTTACCTTGAACTTCTCGATGAGCAACTGCGAATCGACGCATACCGAAATAATAGGCTCGAACATGCTGGTTGCGCACGTGTCACCCAGGTACGCCATCAGGGGCGGCCAGCTCGCCGGCACGCATCCTGCGCGCCACCAGCTCCGCTGCATGGTAGCCGTGCGCACACGAGTCCACGCTTCTCCCACCCACTCGAGTATGTCGCTATAGTCGACATCAGCGATGGAAGCCGAATAGTCGAACTGGAACCGCTTGGACGCTATCGCACGCCTCATCACCATAACGCGGTAATACGCCTTTAGCGCGTCACCCACTCCCTGCAGGTGCGGCAGGCCCGTCTCCGGAACCGATCCACGAATGTTGACGACTCGGGTGTTCGTGAGGTGCTGCACACTGAAGCCGTGCTCCGCGACGGGCGGCGCCACCTTGCCTGTGATGTGATGCGCCTTGTGAATGGTGAGGATGATGGTGTTGCGATCACGGCTGAAGTGCACACCGTTTACGGTCTCCACAAACTCAGTGAATACCTGTGTGCAGTGAATCAAACATAGCGAGCACGTCACCAACGGCCATTGCGGTACGCAAATACATCGGAGATGGACGCGCTCCTGATGTAGTCACACGTTCTATGCACGTCCAACCATAAAACTGCACACAAAGTCCACAATCCATACCTCCGGCGTCAACCGCCCGCGGTTCGTATACCGAACGGCCACCTTGCGCGATGCGGCGCTCGCCCGCCGGCGCTCGGGCCTATTGGATGGCTCTAGCACCACAAGAGGCACTGCGGAACAACTCCCCGTCGCGTTGAAGAGGATGCCGACGCTGACGATACGCTCCACCACATTGCGCTTATCCGGAATGTACGACTTCGGCAGCCGGCTGGGAAGAAAATTAATCTCGTGGAAGCAGAACACGTCATCCGGATGTGCGGTAGCAAGCAGGGCCTTCAGGTCACCCATTGTAACACACTGTCACTCTGGTATGCAAGTATGCATTGAAGTGCACACGACCTCCTCCTACATACGTTTCATTTGACCGTAACGTACCCCCGGCTTGCCCGTGCACGCACACTGTGTACAGCAGTTGAAATTGGCCACACAACCAACCGACCACATTCCCTGCGCCGCACAGAGATAACGCTCTCCTATGATACGACCACCAGTAACGCCCACATAGGACATCCCGCCCCCACGACGCCACGTACGCGTCACCCATATCCAAACAACCAACTGCCTGAGACCCCAAGTGTGCACCACCACACATTGTGGTTGTGCAACCCCGACCGCGCAAGGAATAAGGGTACCCGTACGCGTTATACGATTCATAACTTAACCACCATACTGCACACCTATACCTGATTGAACGTCTTATCTTCTTAGCACGAGTGTATAATAACATCACCGCTGGATAACACAACTTCCATCCAACCGTGCCTCTACACATAAAGAACGCACTACGCAATGATTTATGGTTTAAAATTCCGAGATGCAACCACTGTTTGTAAACGCATTGCGTCACTCGCATAGTAGAAACCTATTTACTAGCTGCACCTTTTTGTTGCTGTACGAAGGGCACACGTGCACCACTCTCTGCAGGCTTTTCAGCTCCACCATCGAGAACCTCACATCCTCCACTGTCTTGTGCAGCTGCGTACATCCCGTGAGGTTGCAGCTCCCAGCCTTCTCATAGTACCTCACATATGCGTACCCCTTTCAATCCCCATCACGGTCAACCGCCCTGAAAATGCACAGACATTTTGCATACCAGTCCCCACCCTTGTCATTGAGCAGCGCCACATCCGAATACCACCTCTCTCGGGGCGACGCCTTCACAAATGTCCCTTTGGCCACCAGCTCGCCGCCTCTTGTGCGCGGAATGGCCACCGCTGTGTGGACCTGTCACCCCATCCCCACCAAACCAACAACACGTGCACATCATGAGTGCGGTGAGCACCATCATGTAAGACTACAAACGTCACATGTCCGCCACTTTGTAATCACTTCACCTGCACGCTGCTGGTAGCCAGACCCAACGCCTTAAACTTGTCAGCCAAACCCTTCATATCGTCTCCCAGCGCGGTTATGTACTCATCGTACACTGGATCCGCCGCTCCGCCAATCCGCATTGTCCGATACTTCTTCGTGAGCACCGGTTTCTTCGTCAAGATTGCCCGCACGTACCACACGCATTCGCACAACGAACCATACGGTGTTTGAATCACGCCACCACCCCGGTGTACGGTGTACTCTGTACTACCAACACTGGGCATCATCGTCGCCAAGACCCCCTAACACACCTCACGGAAGGCGCACGCGTACTGTCGCCCACCCCCAGCGTCCGCCGCCACCTCGCGGTACACCTCGCGCTGCACCTCCTCCTCCACGATTCGTCGAGGTATGTCGCTCCAATTGCTCCCTCTTACTGGACCCTTCACCGTGCCCTTGTGCGTGCGCTCCCACATTTCGGTTGAATAGTGGTGCGGCATCCCACGCTCCTTCACGTTGTCCAGCAAATGCCTTATCGTGTGTATCTTTGGGAGCTTCCAGTGGGATGCCTGCGATAGGAATGCCTTCGGTAGCAACGCCACCAGCCTGCACCGGCACCCCCGACAAGGCACAATATTGGATGAATCACCGTATTTGGCGACCTCAAAATAGCAGTGCAATCTGGAGGCATAGCCTCCCATAAATCTTGTTGACCCAACGGCGTCGGGTATACAAATACTCACGCTATCGCATGCTGCCGGGCAATCGCAATTGTCGTGTGTGTGTGCCTGTCAACCCCCATAAACGCCTTGTAGAACACGGCATACAGCCGGAACGCCTTGACCTGCAAAGCACGCAGCTCTCCCTCCGGTCCATCCTTCAATGCACTCTCGTCTGCCACCAATATCGGCATTATCTGCATCATGCTCCTGTGCTCGAACGCCGCGTTGTTTGCGCCAGAACTGAAGAACGATGATCCCCCAAGGATACGGAGAAGAACGCTTGGAGTGAAACGCTTGAACTCCTTGCGGCTGCGCACATACATAGTTCGATGTCGTCATCCGCTGACACACATGGGGGCCTAGACCCCTCCTAAATCCCTGCAGAATATAGTTGGCTACCGCTCTCACACCCGACTACACCTAACTCACCTTTCTAGCAGTCGCATCTCAACCTTTCCAAGGGGATCGATGTAGGAGTCCATCATGTGGATCAGCACACCGGAGTCCAGCACGTGCAGTGTGTCTGCTAGGCATGCTAGGTACACGTTTCCCCACTCTGTGTCTGCGAAATTCCACCTTTGAAGCACGCACTGCAACCATCCCACAGACGACACAGTATTGTCAATCAGTCCACATGATATCCAGCCCCCATTCATTACGCACCACCAAACCGCGCACCAGCAAACTCCACCTCGATCGGATGGGCTGACCATAACTTCCGCACATCGTCTGCCTCGCCCTTCTTCTTGCACGCCAAGATTTGACGAACAATGTCCCTCTGCTGATCGGGGGTCCGTGGATCACACTTCCCCACCATCATGGTCAACTCCCCCTGTCAGAGTATTATAGCTGATGCATGTTTGTAGGCTATAGTGGGGTAGCACATATGGGGTACAGCTTTCTAAGGTTTTATTTGTACCCAACTCTGACTTAGTCATTTTCATCCCTGTTCACTTGTTTCACATGGTATAGAGCGGGTCCTTCCTTAGGACCGTTTTTTTTTAGGGCCCACCGAAGCGCGCCCCGAGGCGCGCCTTTTTTTTTAGCGACCCCTCGGGTCGCCATTTCCCTCGCGGCCCCGCTGTCCCTCAGACGCGGCCCCGCCACCTCTCCTGATCGCGGCCCCGCCGCCTGCTTGACGCGGCCCCGCCGCCTCCACTGACGCGGCCCCGCCGCCGGCTCTGACGCGGCCCTGCCGCCCGCTTCGACGCGGCCCCGCCGCCTGCTTGACGCGGCCCCGCCGCCTCCACTGACTCGGCCCCGCCGCCGGCTCTGACGCGGCCCTGCCGCCCGCTTCGTCGCGGCCCCGCCGCCTGCTTGACGCGGCCCCGCCGCATCCACTGACGCGGCCCCGCCGCCGGCTCTGACGCGGCCCTGCCGGCCCGCCGCTGCACCCTACGGCCTGCCGCTGCACCCTACGGCCCGCCGCCTCACCTGACGGCCCGCCGCTGCACCTGCCGGCCCGCCGCTTCACCTGACGGCCCCGCCGCTGCACCTGCCGGCCCGCCGCTGCACCCTACGGCCCGCCGCTGCACCCTACGGCCCGCCACCTCACCTAGTCGGCCCGCCGCTGCACCCTACGGCCCCGCCGCTGCACCTGCCGGCCCGCCGCTGCACCGGTCGACCCGCCGCTGCACCTGACGGCCCCGCCCCTGCATCTCCCGGCCGAGCCGCCCCAGCAGCAGAGCCGCCCCAGCAGCCGAACCGCCCGGGAGCCGAGCCGCCCAACGCCGAGCCGCCCGGGACCCAAGCCGCCCTGCCGCCGAGCCGCCCGGGAGCCGAGCCGCCCTGCACCCGAGCCGCCCTGCCGCCGAGCCGCCCGGGAGCCGAGCCGCCCTGCGCCCGAGCCGCCCAGCCGCCGAGCCGCCGGGGAGCCGAGCCGCTGTGCACCCGAGCCGCCGGGTCGCTGAGCCGCCTTTCTGCAGAGCTGCACGACCTGCCCTGCCTGGTGAGCACAGTCCCGCTGACACTGCGAGCTCTTTCCCTACTGCTTGCACTGCGTCGCTGTCATCGCCATGGCTACCCCTAGTGTCCTAGCTTTTGACGCTGAGGGTCGCGCCATTGATTTTGAGGTCTGGTTAGACGACCTGCAGCTGTTCTTACAGTGCGACAGGGCTGACGACCTTTCTCTCTTTGACCTCACCTCAGGCGCCTCTCCTGCTCCTGCTGCTGATGCAAATCCCACTGTCCGTTCTCATTGGGCCACCCGCGATACTGCTGCACGTCTTGCTGTGCGTCGCCACCTCCCTACCTCTGAGCGTGCGCACTTTAGTCAGTACAAGAGTGCTCAGACCTTGTACGACGCTGTAGTTGCGCGCTACTCCTCCCCTGCCACTGCTGCACTGAGCCGTCTCATGCTTCCCTACCTCTTTCCTGACCTCTCTGCCTTTCCCACTGTTGCTGACCTCATTACGCACCTCCGCACTAGTGACACTCGCTACCGCGCCGCCCTTCCTGCTGAGTTCTGCGCTAAGAACCCACCCCCCATGTACATCGCTCTCTACTACGTAGTCGCGCGCCTCCCTGACTCCCTTCACGTCGTCAGGGACCACTTTCTCGCAGTCTGTCCCACCACCCTCACCGTCGACCTCCTCGAGAAGGCCCTCCTCGCAGCGGAGAAGAGCATAGTCGCTGTAGGTGCTTCTCGTGGTGACCCTCGCACCCCCATCTTTGAGGGGTGCTCTCCTTCCCCCTTGCTGCCCTCTGTTGCCTCTGCTGCTGCTGCCAACCTGCTTGGTCTTGAGTCGGACGGCGCGGCGTCTACCCCTAGTGGGAGACGTCGCTCCAGCAAGGGCAAGGGGGGCAAGGGCGCGGGTGGAGCTGGAGGGGGCGGTGGCGGTGGCGGTGGCGGCGGTGGCGGCGGAGGGAGTGGGGGTGGCGGCGGGACTAGTGGCGGGGGTGGTGGTGGTGGTGGCAGCAGCGGCGGAGACGGTGGTGGTGGTGCCAGCGGTGGTGGTGGAGGCAGCGGCGGAGGTGGAGGCGGCGGAGGTGGAGGCGGTGGAGGCGGCAGCGGAGGAGGCGGTGGTGGTGGAGGAGGTGGAGCTGGTCGGGGTGGTACCCAGCAGCGTAGCGGCGGTGGTGGTGGCCAGCGCTCGCAGCGGCAGCAGCAGCGCTCGCGGGACATCCCTCCGCCTCAGCAGCTTCGTGAGTGGTACGCTGGGCGTCAGAGGGGTGGGGGTACTGGTCCCTGCACCTACGTTCTTCGTTCCGGCGACCGCGCGGGTGAGCAGTGTGGGGGTGCCCACGCCACCCAGCGCTGCTTTGGCCGCCTGACGGACGCTTGGCGTCAGCAGTTCCCTGGGGCTAGTGAGATCCCTCGCTGGGATGAGCTTCTAAGGGCTGGTGTAGCGATCTTTGATCTTGATTTTGATGCTATCCTTGCTGCTATGTATGCTGTGGATTATAGTGCGGAGAATGAGGGTTACCGGTGTTTCCAGCCCGACCCGGGCATTGGTACTGCTGCGCTAGGTGCTTGTGAGGCTGCTGCTCTAGGTGCCAGTGCGTCTGTGCTCTCAGGTACTGGTGAGACTGCGCTCTCAGGTACTGCGTCGTCCTCGTCCTCCCTCACTTTCACACTTGACTCCGGGGCTTCTCGCTCCTTCTTTCGAGACCGCACTACCCTTACGCCGCTCGGCCGGCCGGTTGCGGTCTCCCTTGCTGACCCCTCTGGGGGTCCTGTCCTCTCTCACTTCTCCACTGTCCTCCCGTGTCCGGCTGCCCCTTCGGGCACCCTGTCTGGTCTGTACCTTCCCTCGTTCTCTACGAACCTGGTGAGTGGAGCGGACCTGCAGGATGTGGGGGTTCACCAGTTCACTCCTGCGAGTCAGCGGGTGACCCACTGCACGGAGGCACGCACAGGCCGACACCTGGCCACGTTCTCGCGTCGGCCGGGGTCGAGTCTCTACACCCTGACCGTTGAGTCTCCTCCTGTCCCTGCGTCTGGTCAGGTGGCTGCGTCGGGTCAGGTGCTTGCTGCTGCGTCCCGGTCAGGTCCTGAGTCTGCCCCCTGTTCTTGTCGCCTCCTGTCTCACGAGACTCTCCTGTGGCACCACCATCTTGGCCACCCCTCCTTGCCCCGTCTTCGGAGCATGGCTTCCCGTGTCCTTGTCTCTGGTCTTCCCCAGTCTCTCCCTCCTCTCCCCTCCGGGCCAGGACCTTCCTCTGTCCCCTGTGTCGAGGGTCGCCTCCGGGCTACTCCTCACTCCTCCCACTTCCCCCCGACAGAGGCTCCCCTGCAGACGCTTCACATGGATGTGTGGGGCCCAGCCCCCGTCCGTGGGCAGGGTCACGAGCGCTACTTCCTGTTGGTGGTTGACGACTACTCGCGTTACACCACAGTCCTCCCCTTGCGCAGCAAGGGTGCGGTCACTGAGGTGCTGATCGACTGGATCCGCGAGGCTCGTCTCCACCTCAGGAAGAGCTTCGGCTCGGACTTTCCTGTTCTGCGTCTGCACTCGGACAGAGGCGGAGAGTTCTTCTCGCGCCTTCTGCGCGACTACTGTCGTGCACGGGGGATCCGCTGGACCTTCACGCTTCCGGACTCTCCACAGCAAAATGGGATTGCTGAGCGCCGCATTGGCATGGTCATGGATGTCGCTCGTACGTCCATGATGCATGCGGCTGCCCCCCATTTTCTGTGGCCGTTTGCGGTGAGGTACGCGGCGCATCAGCTCAACCTTCACCCCCGGGTCTCTCGGCCTGCGATGTCCCCAGCCTTGCTGTGGACGGGGAAGGTTGGCGATGCGTCTGTGCTCCGTGTCTGGGGATCTCGGGCGTTTGTCCGCGACTTGTCTGCGGACAAGCTGTCCCCTCGTGCTGCTCCCTGTGTCTTCCTTGGCTTCCTCTCTGACGCCCCAGGGTGGCAGTTTTACCACCCCTCCTCTCGTCGTGTTCTGTCCTCCCAGGACGTCACGTTCGACGAGTCAGTCCCCTTCTACCGTCTCTTCCCCTACCGCACTCCTTCCCTCCCCCCTCCCCCGGACTTCCTTGTGCCGGTTCCCCCTCGGTAGACCCCCTCCCCCCTCAGGTTCCTGCCCCCTCAGGTGTGTCCCAGGTAGACGCCGTTGACCCGGTCGAGGTTACTGGTGACTCTGGTGCTGCTGCGGGTGCTGAGCCTGGGGGTGCTGACTCTGGGGGTGCTGTGCGCGGGGGTGCTGAGCCTGGGGGTGCTACTGCTGGGGGTGCTGGGCCTGAGGGTGCTACT